TGGAATGGAGCAGTTATTGTCTAAGTTTTCTGATTTGCCGCACTGCCTCACGACTTATGCACTGGTTAGAGAGCTAATTTTCACTGGGGCCTCTTTTCTGTCTGTTCCCATTGGTGTCACCAATTACCAATTTCCTCAGCTCCAAGTCTAGGCTAGCCAAGGCAGGGAACTCTCCATTCTGTGGTTTCTAGGGTCCCGGACTCCTTAGCTGGTTGACCTTCTGGTCACCTCCTTTTAGAGTTCTCTCATCTTACACACACACACACACACACACACACTCTTCAGGGTTTTTAGCTGTCCTTGGTGGGAGGAATAGGGAAAACTGTATCTACTCTACCTTCCTGGAAGCGGAAGGCCATGGTTTACTTTTCTTTTAACAGGGACTCAAATAGTACAAGTTTTCCCTTGGGCAATAAAGCATGCAGTTTTAGCAACTACAAAGAACTAACGGAAGACTACAATTAAGGAAATCTTTAATTTTGAAATTAGCTAAATAAAATCATAGTGTCTGTGCGCTTTAATATATAACAGGGAAAACTGAACAATGTCTGTGTATTATAGGCCCAGAATCAGGGAGGCAAGAGAGCTTAAACATTGGTTTAATATTTTGAAACAAGCTTGGTTTAATGTTTAAAACCGTGGTTTAATGTTTTAAACTAAGAGTGCAAATCATTATGTCTTATGAGGTACCAGAACCATCAAAATGAAATTAAAGACCTAGAGTGTTCCCAAACTGTCACAAACTCTGTGTGTTAACCTTTTCTTCTTCTCATTCTTCTTTCTATCCTTCCTCTTCTCCCTCTTTTTTCCCTCCCTCCCTCTCTTCCTTCTTTTGTTCTTGTACTGTTTGTTCCTTATTTTTGCTGTCTTACATTTCTGCTTCCTGACTTTGAGTCTGTCTTGAGAACCAATTGATTTGAACTGTGGTTTAGAAAAATGTCAGAAATCTGTGGCTTATTCCAGACTAATTGCAAGGACATTTTAGCTGAGGAGAATCCTATGGAGTCACCCTGAATGGAAACTTGAAATCTCATTCTAGAGCATCTTGTTTTCTGGTTTTTCCACAAACCCTGTTTAGAACAGTGTTTTCCAAACCTTGTTTACATCCCTTGTTCACAAACTTCACCAAATCTTCATTCCACTTCTCTAAATTTTTTACTTTAGAATTTTTAAACAAATTCTCTTTATAGCTTCTTAAACTTGTTTTAAAAATTGGAAAGAAAAAATGGAGAGAGAAAGAGGGAGGGAGGGAAGGAAGGTAGGAAGAAAGGAAGAGAGAAAGGGAAGGAAAGAAACATTGTACTGGTAAAGATTTATTTAAAAAAAATTAAAATAAGAAGGGACCACAATCTCCCATTGTAAGCAAGCACATATCTAGCAAATTTAGAATGAGGAAATTCTCTGTGCTGCCCAATCTCCCCCTCTTATTCCTGATAGTACTGGAAATTCAGTTCTCTTGATTTTATAAAAATAAATCTCACCAATTTGTTGGCATATATATGATTCATGGCAGAGAACTGTACCTTAACTTTATTCTTGTGTCTCCTTTAAAATCATCTCCTTGCTGGGCGCAGTGGTGCACACCTGTAATCCCAGCTGCTCAGGAGGCTGAGGCAGGAGGATCACAAGTTTGAAACCAGTCTCTGCAATTTAGTCTCACTTAATGGGAATTTGTCCCAAAATAAAATATAAAAAGGGCTGGAGATGTGGCTCAGTCATTAAGTGCCTTTGGGTTCAATCCCCCCCCCCCCAAAAAAAAAGTCATCTCCTTTAAGCATTGTGTCTCCTTTAATCACGTCTTCTTTAAAATTTATTGTCTGGCTACTTGAGAACTCAGCAGGCCCTGTAACTTTTCTGCTTACTCTTAGATAACAAACCATCCTAGAGTCTCAAATCAGTAAAGAGAGTGTGTCTTAAGATAAGAATCAACTCTTCAATTTTCAGTTGAAGACCAGACCTCTCCTTCTCTTCTTGCTGGGGCCTGTAGTTGGAAGCCACCTGCCTGCAGAGAAGGGAGGATGTGACCAGCATCTCTTATCTAGCCATTGATACAGACCCCAGCTGGGTGACAGGGGCAAGACAGGACAGGAAAGTCAGTGCACCAGTCCTTCTTTGGCTGGGTGGCCAGGTGGCAGTGTGCTGTCTGGCACTAGCAGATGATTAACATCCTTTCCAAGATTTTCCTCCTTGGATCCCTCCCTCCAACAACCACTCTGGTGGCCTTGTCCTCATGGACCTCTGTCTCCCTCTTGCTGGGGCACTCTTGCTGTGTTGGACATGAGAAGGCTTCAGTGCATTCACCCCCTCAGATGTGACCCATATCTAGTCCTGGGAGGAGCACCCACACACCGTTGTCTCTGAACAGTTGTGCCACCCACCCCCAACTCAGCATCACACTCCTGCATCTGCCATCGAAGCTCTTTGCCACCTTCTCTTATACTCTGTGCTTCCTCAGGGACCAGACCCAAGCCCACACTGCCTTTGTTCTCCAAGCTCTCTGACTGAACCCCCAACAGCCCCTCCATAAGTAGAAGGTAAGGAGAGTCTCACCCCAGAGGGAGTGGGGGGGGGTCACTCAGCACCAGAGGCTCTCCCAAAAGAAAGTTCCCTACAAATACTTCCTTCTCTTTTCCCAAACCTCTTTTTGGCCTCAATATGGCTGAGGGAGTCATAAAAGTATAGAGCCAGTTCTTAAATTTTTCTTTAAAAAAATCTGAAAGCAGTGACCTTGCACCTCACTTTGGAATTTCAATTCCATATTTTTCTCAGTTAAAAGCTTTAAGTTCACACCCAGCCCAGGAACAGAAACTCCTTGACCCTCTCAAATGACTCGTTAGTATTTCAGGACTATTATTAAATCTTTCCCTGACCTATTCTTTCAGAAGCTAAATGGTCCTATTTTTTTACCGCCATTTCCCCCATTCCTTTAATAACTTGGCTTTCTTGCTTCTGATTTCCCTCATTTCACCATGCTTCAAATAATTTCAACTTCCAGGAGATGAGCACAAAGATGGGTGCATAATGTTAGTGATTTTGTTTTATTTTTATTTATCATCTTTAGTAGCTCCTACCTTCACATATTTCAAAATTCAAATGTTACAAAATAGTATCTATACAGTGACAGTTTCTTTTCCAGCCTTTAAGCCACCCTGCACCATCCCTCACCCAAGAATAAGTACAACTAGTTCCTCATGAATCTTCCCAGGGATGCTCTGTGTACATCCTACCAATTGTATATCTCTATCCTGGCTCCCAGTCACCCTACTTCCACCCTTGTCCTATAAATAATGGATGCTTTCCCCCTCCTATATAAGAATATCTCCAAAAGCCTCCACATCAGAGGAGAACTTCCTCATTCTCCTCAGCAACCACATTGTAGACAGACCTTTGATCAGATGCTCCACCATTTATTTCACCAGTTCTTTAAGTATCTAGATGGCTTCCAATACCTCTCACAATGCTTCGTTGAATACTCTAGTAAATACATCATTTAGCTCATGTGAGAATATATCTGCAGGATAAAATTCTAGGGAGGGAATTGCTGGTCAAGCATGTGTACAGTATCATTCTAATTATGTTGGCAAATTGCCTTCCATTGGGGCTGTGCCAGTTGTCTCCTCCTAGCAACACAGGAGAGTGCCTGTTTTCCCATCCTCTCCCCATTTAGCACCAGAAAATATTAAATATTGATTGATGGGTGAAATACTGTAGCTTAGTTGAGTGAGGCTGAGCAGATAAATGCTGAATACGCTCATTTGTGTTTTCTTATTCTGCGAGCTGTCTTGCACAGGGTATTGGAATGCTTACTTGGGAGGTGTTATGGTTTGAATGGGAGGTGTCCCCCCAAAAAAACTCATGTGTGAGACAATGCAAGAAGTTTTAAAGGTGAAATGATTGGGTTATGAGATCCTTAACCTCAATCACTGAATTAATCCCCTGATAGGGATCAACTGAGTGGTAACTGAAGGCAGGCAGGATGTGGCTGGGAGAGGTAGGGTGTGCCTTTGAAGGTACGCATTCTGATTCTGGTGAGTAAAATCTCTCTTTCTGCTTTCTGATGTGATGTCTTGGGCTGTTTTCTTCTACCACATTCTTCCACCATGATGTCCTCTATCACCTTGAGCCCTGAGGAATGAAGTCAGCCATCTATGGACTGAGAACTCTGAAACTGTGAGCTCCCCAGATAAACTTTTCCTCTCCTAAAATCATTCTTGTCAGGTCTTTTGGTCATGGCAGCAAAAAGCTGACTTAAACAGTAGGATTATCTCAACCGCCATGCAGGTGATTGGCAGGAGATCTTCTATGTACAAGTCATCCCTCAGTATCCTGGAGAATTGGTTCCTGGGACCCCTGTCCCCAAGGGTACCAAAATTCATATATGCACAAGTTTCTTATGTAAAATGGCATACTATTTGCATATTAACTCCATGCACATCCTCTTGCATAACTTAAATCCTCTCTAGATTAATTATAATACCTAATACAATGTAAATGCTATGTAAATAGTTGTTGTACTGTATTGTTACATGTTCAGTACAGATGCAAGTTTTTCCTAATATTTTCACTACAGGGTTGGTTGAGTCTATGACATGAAACTCTTAGATTCAGGGCCAACCGTTTGTGTGCATGTGTGCATGTTTGCATATCTATCTATCTATCTATCTATCTATCTATCTATCTATCTATCTATCTAAAGAGACAGAGCAAGAGAAGGGGCCAGGATTGAACCCAGGAAAATGTCAAGAAACCTGCAAGCAAGAAGCATGGACTATTTGTAGCAGAACATGATGCCAACTTGGACAATGGTAAACTTCATTCAGCAGGGTGCACAAACAGTGTTTAGATCATATCCACAATGCAGGCAAATTCCTGGATGGGTAATGATTCCAAAGAGAGAATTATTAGCAGGTATTATGCTCCAGCTGTATATAGCAATCAGGAAATTGCAATACAGGAAAAAAAAAAAAACCTTGAGAATATTTTGTACCCTCCAAGACAAGACTGTTTATAAAGCAAGTATCATCACCGAAGAAATTTGTTCTTGCAATTATTGAATCTAGGGATATATGTATGAATATATACATATATGTACCCACAGTATATATTCATCATACACATAATATATACGTATATAGAGTGTCAAGTGTCAATCATTGAGTATCTGATGGTAGAACTGTTGTTTGAATTTTAAAGTTTCACACAGTAAACAATTACAAAAATAAATGAACAAAAAAATGATTTCTGCCAGTAAAATGTAGGAGGGGGAGGGCTTGCTGTTTTACTGGAAGAGACATTTTCTTGCAAGTGTATGTGGAAAAGTCACTGGCTAGAGATCCCAAGCAATTGGCAAATTTATTTAAACTTTTACAATACATTTTTAAATACCTTTTTTAAAAGTAGTCTTTTAATTTTAAAATTTTCTGAGAGAAATATGCAAACTGACAAGGTATTGAAAGTAGAGATGCAGGAAAATCTCTTTCCAAGTCATTTTAGCTCCTTTCACTAATCTTTGGGCAAATCGACTCTTGAATAATCTAAAGTCACTGAAGTTGTCCATCTTTTGATTGTGTGACCCAGCCAGGCATCGATCCCCTCAGATGCTGTTATTGATGGCAAATGTAGCTCCTTCAGGGCTTTGTGACTTTGGTCAGTTTCAGCTCCAGGGTGCTTTGATAACACTTTGCATGGTCCACGAGACTCCAGGAGGGCAGGCTGGGATGTGTTTGGGGCTTGAATCCAGAAGGAGAGGGAGTCTGGGAGCCATGTGCATCTAGTTAAGAATAGGAATCAGCACAAAACAATATTAACTTTAGAAATGAGATGAAAGCCCGTGTGTGCCAGCTTTCCCACAGAAGGGGAGACCCTGCGAACCGCCAGCCCCTTCAGCACCGCTTTTAGATGGAAATGATTTTGTGGAATACTGACACAAAAGGAAGATACAAACGAAGTGAAGAGCCTTAGCGAACAATTACATGCAAGTAGGTTACATGAAAATATAGTCTCAAGTGTATGATATCTTGTGAATATTAATTAAGGAAATTATTCTCAGAGCAGCTAGTGTTTAAAACAAGATGTAATCTCTGCTGAGTGGCCCCGCCATTCTTTCTCTCAGTGTTTAACTTCAAAGGGCTTTGGAGTTGGGGCAAATGAGATTATTATTACTTCAATCTAGAGAGGAAGCCTCTTCTAACCAATTGGAGGATAAATTCTAGAATTACACATAGCAGTTAATACAAAGAAGAAAATAAGATTCCACCCTGGTGAGGATCTTCCTGCTAAAATAATGTCTTATAACCTTTTTTATCTGATCTACTTTCTCTCTACAAAAATTCTACATTTCAAATTGTGCATGTCTCCAGCTAGAGAAGGACAGGACCAGCTAGAGATATGATTTTTCCATATTTTTATTGGTGCAATATAATTATACATTATAGTGGGATTGGTTGTTATGCATTTATACATGCACATAATATAACAATGTAATTCGGTCACTATCATTCCCCAGTATCTCCCCTTTCCTTCCCCTCCTCCCTCCACCCGGTCCCTTTTGTCTGCTCCACTGGTCTTCTTTTTGTTTTCATGAGATCCCCTTGAAGATTTTAAAGCTATTCTCCTCTACTGATTTGGGGCCACTAGAAATAATAATATTACTTAGTAATAGTAGTAAACACTCATACAGGTCTGTGTCTGGTACTAAATATTTTGCTTATATTAGCCCCTTTAATCTTCACGAGTTCTTTGGAGGTGTATGTGGGGGGGGGGGTGTTCCATGATAAACAAATGTGGAGATGTAAAGTGGTCCTAATGGGTCAGATGTGGAGCTGGGATTTGAATCCTAGTACCAGAGTAGAAGTTTAGCCATGATACCATGGTATACTCTCCCATAGTTACAGCTCATATGAGAAAAAAATGGAGGGAGGGCAAGCTACGTGTACCAGAATCAGGATAATGATCTGATGACCAATACAACTCTGAAAAGGAGGATAAAGACCAACCTTTAAAATAAAACCACACACCTTATTAGACAGGACCAGTAAAAATCAAATCACATTCACAGATTATTAAGAATGTCCACATGAATTTGGCAGATGCGTTTTGTAAAAACGGTTCTGGGGAAAATAGCCAATTACCTACTGTTAACATTTTAGCTGTTGGTGAAATCAGTGCCACCACCACTCAACTTGTTCCACAGATGCTGGGCATGGATGGGTGCAGATGCACCCAGATGCTGGATGGATACAGCACCATGGAATGCGAGATGCAGATGTGACTAAACTGGCTGCAGACGTGGGTTGGCCGTGGATAAAATCTATCCATGCCAGGTTCCCCAGCAGAGTTTTCAATGTCATGGTTCCTTGATCCTCAGCTGTCACACTCCATAGTGAGTGTCAGAGGAAAGTGAAAGTGTGTTCTGCCATTTTTGGGCCAATTTGAGACTCAGAAAATTCAGATGGTACCAGTTAGAACAGGATCTAGAGGATACTGGATACCGAGGTGGAGGGTGCTTTTCAGAGCCACCTCAATGCCTGGCATTTGTGCCATACACCAGTGGCACAAGCCCACTCCTGGATGTCCAAGTATATTCTGCAGGACCCATCTTCAAGCCACTGGTAGTACTGTCCCTCTCCTGAATATCCCCCACAGCCCAGCTTTCCAGAGGTTAAGACCTTCTCATGACTGACCTTCAACCTCAGAAAATGAGGTAGCCTCTTCTTTACTGTCCAGTGAGTCTTTGTCCTTTTGCATTTATTACTTATTGTATCTATTTCTCCTCCTCTCTCTCCTTCATTTAATAAAGCATAAGGAGACTATGACCCATATCTTTTGCATTTTCACTTCTGCTGGCTCCTGACACAGTGCAGGCACATTGTAGTAACTCACCATGTTAACTGTAGAATGAATGTTTATATCCATGAAATCCAAAAGCCCCAAGATATGCTATCTTTGGTCTGCACACCATTTCAAAAATAATAAATATTTTGTGAATATTAACAATTTCAGAGTTTGCACAGACCAAAAAATGGATTATTGGCATCTCTAAGACAAGAGACCTGACCACATTGGACTTGAATCCCACATATTGCCTTCAGCCGGAAGTAGGAGTTGCTGTCCCTTTTGGGCAACACATTCACTTTGAGATTTTCCCCAGTCACTAGATTGTCTTGCACCCTGCCCTCTTTACTCACTTATAAAACCCTCTTCACCCTCTGAGCATTAGATTTTGCACCCCTAGATCCTATCAGACAGAGCCATAACACTCTCCTTAATCTTGGATTGCCATTTCCAACACATGCACATTATGGTGGTCTTTCATCATCCAATTTTTGTTATAGCAACATCTCATGAACGAAATCTATTCCAAAGGGGCCAACGAGGTAGGAGAAGGACAGGGAGCTAAAGGGAAGCTCAGTACTCTTCTGGCATATCAGCTGTTGGCACTGGCAAGAGGCAGGATTCTGGCCGGGATGGAAAAGTGAGCCAGCTAGGAATGGCACTCCTATATTTCAGCCAGCAAAAGCCTTTGCAAAGCCTGCTTTGCATATGACAGTTCCGCTGACCACACTGGAGTCACAGGGGAATAGTTACCCCTGGAACTTCCTCTCTGCAATAGTAGCACCCTGTTTAAGGGAACCAAGAATGGAATATGATCGTCTCATATATAAGCTGCCATGAGCTTTCAGGCGACCATACTGGCATGAGCTTTCAGCATTGAAAAAACAAATGAAAACTCTCTGGAAATAATAGGAGCCCTGTGTCCTGGAACCCAAAGAATAATAATCCCAGGCTATCAGTCATCCAAGCTGAGAACAGTTTCTTCCTCTCCCTTTGCTGTGCATGAAATGACCTGACACAGATCCTGAGCCCAGGAGCGCTGTGAAACTGGCCCAGGGACAGAGGAGGTTGCTCCCCCCACTGCTGAAATGCCAAGTGACACAGGACTTTTCCTTCCCTATTGGTGAGGGTCACTTCCTAGCTGTTACTAGGAAGCACAGTTTTGGCAGTCAGTTGACACTTCATGAGCCCCTAATATTTGGATTGAAGGGAACCTTCAAGCCTAGATCTGGGGAATTCACAAAAGTAAGACTATATTCCCAAATATATATTGAGCACCGGCTATTAACCAGATGTTATTCTAGGAGCTTAGCATAGAACTGTGAACTAATTAGATAAGAATCCCTGATGTCAATGAGGTTATCTTCTACCAAGTCTGTACTGCATTCCATTTGTGAAGATTGTACCTCAGTTGCTCTTGTTTCTAAAGTATTCAGGGAAAAAACATGAATGTAGGGAGAGGTCTGAGCCTACTTGCTGTATGTACATTTTAAAACTAAACTCAAGGGGCTAAAAAGTTCCTGCTAAACTTGAAAATGAGGTTAGGGTATATTCTATCAGTTTTCCCTGGAGGGGAAAAAATCCCCGATTTTAATTCCCTTCTGAACTCAGCCACATGTTGAGATAAGGAGGGTGGGGTGATAAATCAACTCAGCTCCCTTGGGAGAAAAATTATAGTAATAAGCTTTAAAAAAATGATGATAATAATAAGCTATATGATTTCAAAGTGACTCACCACCACCCCCTCTTTTTTTTTTTCCCCCTCTGACAACTGAAATTGATTTTGAAAGGAAAGGCTGTGGAGATTTTAGTAGAATACAATCCAGACATTCTAAATCTAAACCCTCTCACCAAAGAGACTGCAGGTCTGGAGACGCCTGGGCTCTGTTGATAATGCCCTGCGCTATGCCCGACATACTACACCCACTGCCACATGTCACTCAACATGCCTGCGAGTTCATAGAGGAAGGAAATAGAGATGGAATGATATTAAGACTGAAATCAATACAGCTTTCTTTTACATTTCCCAATAGTCTCAATAACTTCAAAGAAGCAGATATGAATATAATTAATGAACAGAACAAACACCAAGTGGAAAATAAATCTGGACCTTGTTTTATGAGCACTCCTAAAATGATGGATTTAGAATTGCAGACATGTTCATTGGCAAATCTGACCACTCACTCATTTCCAAATGGTACATAGTACTTTGGAGCAATTGAAGTTGCATCAGCCTGGGTGCCCCTTAGGAAGAATATATTGCTAAAACTACTTTGTAACCAACTAAATAGAGCCCTGTACTTTGATGCATTCAGCCGCGATCAAATTTATGTTTGAATCAGTATTAGGGTGAATCCTCTAACCATCTCTCCATTTGGTTGCTTCTGCAAGCTAATCCTGCTTAAAATATGTATATTCCCCGAAAACAGACTTAACTGAATAACAACAATGCTCAGAGGAAATTCACTTTTTCTATTTGTCAAAGAAAGAAAAACTCTTGCTAAGGAGTAGGTTCAAAAGCTAGGGAAAATATGGTCTTGGCTGTATTTGCAACTCTGTCTAACTGTGTGGCCTTCTTAATAGAAGTCCTTCAAACACTCCGATCCTTGGTCTTCTCATCAGTAGTACTAGTAATAATAATTATACAAGTATATTTATGGGGTGTTCAACTATGCATTAGACCCGCCCTGTGCTAGGGGTTCACACGCTTATCCTCTTTAACTCTCTCAACAGCCCTATGTGGTGGTTTATTACATCCCCTTTACGTAGATGAGGAAACTGAGGCTCAGAGAGGTTTAATGACTAACTTGTGCTTTTTGATTTTTTCCAGTACTGAGGATTGAACCCAGAGGTGTTGTACCACTGAGTTGCATCCCCAGCTCTCCCATACCCGACTCTCTTTTGAGACCCAGTCTCACTAGTTTTTTCAGGCTGGCCTTGAACTTTTCGATCCTCCTGCCTCAGCCTCCCAGGTTGCTGGGATTACAGGCATGTACCACCTAGCCAACCTGTGCCTTTTAAGTACATGAAAGCCAGCATTTTAAGTGACACAGCCTGTCTTCAAAACCTCCATTCTTAACCACTATATTCTTCAGACTGCAATCGTAGCTAAGTTGATTTGCTCTTTTTCATCTCTACAACGACAATAATACTTACCTACTTGTCCTCTTGGACTCAGGACATATGACATGCAAGAATCAAAGGAAGAAGAGGAAATAAATGGCAAATTGCCATTGTCTCTTTATAAGTGGTAGAACCAAAAACAACCGGGGGAAAAAATAGTCCTTCTAATTTCTTATAACCTATCTACAACTTCATGAGTTACAAAGACCTGGGTATATCAATTCCATTGCTCCTAACCCATCTCAGCCCATTGTGATCAATTTAAGTGATTATTCAAGTGTACCAAACCAGGACTACATGGCAAAAAGGTAAAAGTCTGCTAATTATTCATAATTACAAACTGTGTGGAATAAATCTAAAGCATTTAGGCCTAGAAATGACTTTTAAAAGCTAAATTATTCACTTTGATCTTTTTGGGGGGTTTTGTTTTGGTTTTTAAACTATGGATTGGGATTGAGCCCAGAGGAACTTTACCACTGAGCTACATCCCCAATACTTTTTTCTTTTCCCTCCTTCATCCTTTCTCTCTCTCTCTCTCTCTTATTTTTTTTTTCTTTCTAGGGTCTTGCTAAAATGCTGAAGCTGGCCCCAGAGTTGCAATCCTCCTGCTTCAGCCTCCCCAGAATACCAGGATTACAGGCACATGCCAATTTACCCATCTTAACTTTGACTTTCTATTCAGGGTCATGTTCACTTTTTTATGCAAGTTCCCTGTGCAGTCAGGTGCTCTGGCGAACTGTCCTGTCACCTCACACCTGTTCTTCCCAAGGTTCATAAGTTTCCACCTCTGTCCCTCATTCTGACCTCTTTCCACCAAAGGAGGAAGACTAGGCTTGATGGCATATGTATACAATAACTTTCAGCTATGCATTCGATGCTAGGGTCGGGGAGAGCAGAGATAGGGATTGCAGATGGGGTGAGGGCATGAGGAAGGGCTGAGAAGGTTGAAGGTGGGGACAGAATGAGCCAATAGCAAGAGTGTATTTAAAGGGATACCACCAGGACTAGGATAAAGCATTACTAGCATACTAATAAAGCATACTAGCGGTAAAGCATTTCCCTAGCATGCATGAGGCCCTGGATTGATCCCCAGTACTGCAAACAGGCACACAAATAAATAAATAAATAAATACCATCAACTCTTTCTTCCCTTTTATTTTTGCAATGTAGTTGAATGCTCCTATTAAATGCTAAATTAAAATTTGCCATAGGCACCTCTTTGGTGCACGCTGCTTACTGTTATACAGGATGAGCTCTCTTTTGTGGGAATTAGACTTTAATAGTGTTTCCTTTGTGCTTTCACCAGTTTAATGCCAGAGCAAAACATAATTATAGCGAAGGCAGTTCACGGATTAGGTGGTGGCTTGTGCGTCTTACTGTGGGCCCGTCTTCCTCCATTTGGCTTTGTGCTGGTTCCTATCATCTTCTAATTATCTTTTCCTCTCTTTGCTTGACAGCCTTAGAAGTTATAAGGGTATTATCTGAATACAAATTAAATGTCTTTTTTTTTAAAGGAAATGAAAAAAAGAGGGGGTTCTTTAGGAGTGGCCCGTTCCACTCCACATTAATAGTTAGGGATCCTATAAAAGCCCCTCTGGTTTTCAAGATCTATGAAGCCAAATCTACCCCAAATTAATGCCAGCCCTACCTTGGATGAGGAGGGCACTTTCAGTCTCTTCTCTACCTCATAGTTTCCACCTGAAAAAGAAAAAAATGAAATAATCACGCTTACTAATCTCGGGGTGGCAATTGGCTGATTTAACAGTGCCCTGAAAATGAGACTCCTCTGTTTAATGAAGCATTTCATTCAAAGGTTCATTTGGCTAATAAAAACCCCGTTTTTCACTTGTGTTTGAAGCCGGCCCATTATTCTTTTGCGCGTGGTTTGAACCAGTTTCCCGTGAGCTGCGGTCGCTCCTGAGGATGGATCTGAATGGCACTTATTAGGAAGGGAAGAGCTCATGAATTCAGATCATCCTTAATGCTGAAATGAGCTGTAATGAAGCCCCAAGATCAAAGTGCTTGAGGAGCAACAGCAGATGAATGGGCCACGGCGCTTGGGTATAGCTTGCTGTAGAAAAGGATTAGGAAATTTCACTGAAGTAGCCAGGAAGGTTTCTGGGCTAGCATGCTATGCATTTAATTGTTTATGGGATTGGTGGAAGAAAGACACTTTTAACAGACACATAAATAGTTTCCCTCAGAGAAAACGGTTCTACAGGTATTTTCTACAAGGAAAGGCTTTAAATTAGCAGCAAGAGCAGAAGCCAGGCCATTCTTAGCTCCTGGGTTAGGGGAGAAGGGGACCGCGGAAGGAAAGACCCAGAAATGAGGGGAAGAGAGAGAAAGGACATGGGGAATGCCATGCCTCCTTTTCCTGTAGCCTCCAGAGGAAGCATAGACTCTCCTTCCAGGGAGAAGCAAATCCCTGTTTTTCTAAATACTGAACACAAGCAAAACAGAGCGCCTGGATTGCAGCAAGGGTCCCTCCATGCCAGGCTTTATAGCAGCAAGATGCAGGCGGGATGGAAAGCAGATGCAGCCCTGTGAGCACGCCAGCGGTTCACTCTCCTTGAAAAGATGTCAAGGATTATTTGTGTTACCAGTCTCTGGAAAAGCAGAGACGTTCTCTTACAGGATGAATGAAAGATGAATACAAAGAGTTAATTTGAAACCAATCAAGGCCCGTGTTCGTCTACTGCTTCAGAAATCCTTCTATTTTAATGATGAATTCATTTTCAAAGCAGTGCCGAGCCTTTGGTGGGGAATTCCACCTCTCGCAGCTGCGCGATCTGCCCTGCAGTGTTGAGCTTTCTCGCCCACCTGCTCTTTGTAAAACACTGTGGACTTCCCAGAGCTGAGAGCGTGCCAAACTGGCTGAGCCTGCCAGAGAGCCATCCCCAGCCTTGCCTCCAGCCCCCTGAGTGTTGGTGAATACACACACACCACAAACCCCTGAGAATCAGGCAAAGCAGCTCGGTGGAGCCACACGACCACACAGCAAAGCCACAGACAGGCTCCCTCTTGCCTTGCAAAGGATCCTGCTGAATTTTCTATGGTTGATCTGTTAACCTAACTTGGCTTCTCCCGCTGCCCCGTTCAAAAGCAGTTGCATTGAAAATATTATTTGCAAACATTTTCTTTTAAAACATCACACCTGAAAAACCCTAAACAAAATTCCTATTTCATAGTCCAAGGGTAACTTCTGAAGAGGCTAGAGGATTCGATCTACTTTAACTGGAATGGCGTAGGCGTGTTTGTTTTGAAATACACCTAGCCATGATTTTAAAAGCTCTACTCAATAGGTTTTGGTTTCTTTTCTCTTCTTCTTTATTCAAAGACACCTAATTGTAATGGTCTGAAATTTAAATATGGTTGCTATGTTTTTGGTTTTCAACAAAGAATTTCTAGATTAATGCAGAAGCCCGTTTAATAGGGCCCAATGCTGTCCCTTTGTGCCTTGGAGGACATCCATAGTTCTGTTAACTAGGAGGATTGGGAGATCTGACCCTTAGCAGTGAAATGCACCTTGTTCCCCTCTATGAAAAGAGGTCTCCTTCATGGAATCATCTGAGATCCACCTAATTATTTCCCTTAACAAAAGGGAAACAGTGTACCAAACTACCTATTTTATGATGGTGATTCATTGAAGTAATATACTATTTATTCTAAACTAATTTTAATCAAATATCCATGTCATAACCTTTATTCTTTTTTCTCCCTGATCAACTTTGATGCCTAAATTTTCACATCCTTATAATTCTCTCAACGTTAACCAAGAAAATGACAATTTGTATGCACAGCTTCACCACGGTGGCAATGGCCTTAGTCAGGACAGACTAAAATCAGAGCGCTACACTCTACTGAGACTTGTTGAATAGGATTTGTTATTGTCACCCTAGAGCATCAGATTTCATGTGCTTTCTCTCAGTCTTTTTTAAGATTGTGAATAAGACAAAGATCACTCTTTACACTATAATATCATATAATTTATAAATATATAAAATGCAGCTCACAAGTGTTTCCCAGAAAACAATTGAAAGATTTTCAGGGACAGCATGCTTCAGTGAAGTAAGGAATGTGTATCTAATGAGTAGGTAAGAATGACCATACCCCAGGTAGTTGGGAGGAACTAAATCTTCAAGATGCCCCTTTAGCTCTCATCCCACTTCCAGTCTTGATCTTGATAGGCTCACTAGTGACCTTCCTGTTGCACATGCCAGCTGCCAGCCTGGTAAAACTTGGCAGGCACAACTTATTGCAGAGAACATTACTGGGCAACAGGGGATGCAGCCATAGGGCAGTGTATTCTTTCCACATTCTCCATCTCCCCTCTGCCATGCCAAAACTCAGTCTGCTTGAGGCTTGAGTTTAACGTACAATGTAAACACCATGATCAATTTTAATTTATGTAGGTGTTTAAATATATTATTTTGTATTATGGAAGCTTAATTGCTTTCCACTAAAATCCAAAGCAGATAGGAAATGGGTAAAGTCTCATAGTGAACCTACCAACTGTGCCTTCTTTCTTATACACAAAATCCACTTGTTGGGAGTGTAAATGAGCAAATTCCTGTGGCTTTGCTAGGCACGGTAGGCTAGGAAATCATCCTAGGAATATCAGAATTATAATTTGAAATTTTGCTTCACCTGTGTTTTTTTTTTTTAAGAACCTCAAAGTTGTGCTGTGAATGTTTAAAACACTTCTGCTTTGGGTATTTGGCTAGACAGGCTTGTTCACTGAAGTTCCTTCAAGCATGGTATATGGCACACAGTAGGTTGAAGCAGAACTGTGCTACTTTCCACCTCTCTTCCCCTGACTGGCACTGTGCAGTTTCTATGGGTTTATCTACCTCTCCTGCAACACTATGGTTTTGATATACAAGTTTCTGTTATCGACAAGCTATAGGAATCAATTTGAAAATGTATTAATTACTGGAGTTTTCATCAATGGTAATAGGCCCTGGTGGGTTAATGAAACAGAAATGGTGGGTATCAGTTTCTAAAAATATTCTACATGCTTCCATACAAACAAAAGATGTGACATGTTGCACTCTGCAAGTATGGAGCAAGGCACAGAGTTTTAAATTGTTAAGGAAAAATGTTTTAAATAAATCCTCTGATGTTCATAGTGGGGAAGCAAGAATATCTCAAAAACAGTGATGGATTTACTCTAGGCCATTGGTCTTCTCACTTGATCTTCCAGGGCCAGGGGCTCACAGCTGCAAGGCAGCTAGTGAGGTGTTACAGACTGGTGCAGTGCCCTCTAAAGACCAGTTTTGTTTGTTTGTTTGTTTGTTTGTTTGTTTTGCAAAGTTCACTGGTCTTCCCACAGACCCTAGAATATGAGCTCCACCAGGACAGGAACTTACTGCATCCCAGTAGCTTGTATGTGACACAAGGGATGTGCCTGCATGTGTACAGTTCATAACACATAGTGAGTCCTAAAAAGTATTTGTCAAATGAATGAATGATGATAATTCATGACTGAGGTCTCATTTGCATTAGTCTTATTCTGAGCTTCATATAACAAGTTGGAGGAAGTGCAAGACATAATTGGGTTAATTTGGGTTTTCCCCCAAGCTGCTCTTTGATCTTCTGGACATTCAACAGATTCTTATATCCATTTAAGCTCTCTCTAGGATGCCCTTACCTGAAGACTTTTTTTTTTTTTATCCCCAATAGAAAACACAGAGAACCTGCCCACCACAGATAGAGGAGAATCAAGTGAGTCTTGTATCTCAAGAAGAAGATGTAAATGACTCTCTCTCTTTTATTTTTTTCTAATTGTGAGATTTTTAGGAAAGTCATATTATTTCTCTGCGGCTCAATTTCATCCCTTGAAGGAAACAGTAGAAACAAATGGTTGGCTTTCTGAGTTACGTTCAATAAAGAGCCCAGGGTATTTTCTGGAGCAAAAACAAAAGGGCCAAGGCCAAGTAGGCAAGGCTTGGAGTCCTCCATTCACACGTGACCAGAGGGCTTCCAACGCTGTCTGCCAGCCTGCATGCAAACCCAGCCCTCCTATTTACTAACTGTGTTGTCTTGCCTCAGTCATTTCACGTTTCTATCTCCTCACCTGTAAATGGAAATGATAATAATACTTCTTTATAGGGTTTTGGAGAGTAAATCAATCAGCACACATAAAACCTCGAAGGTGAACAATGCTATGTAGGTTTTAGATATTGTTGTCTTACCTGTTGGCATCCCCCATGATGTTTGAATTTAAAAGGTTTGAATGACTCTTGCTTCTAACAAAACAAAAATACTCAAAATTTTTACAGTGTTCAGGGTCTTTAACTAGGAACCCTAATTACAAAGGGGCCCAATGTACTGATATTAAACGTCCCTGGCCCCTGCTATTAACACCTAACACCCGGTGTGTTTAAGTCAGCACAATGGGCTGCTGCCACTCATCTGAGCTCGCTGTTTCTTCTGGAGATTATTCTGCAGTTCCATTCAAAGGGACTCTGCGTAGCTGGGTGTCTGATGCCTGGTGCTAGACAGAGAAGGGCTCCGTGGCTAATCGCCTACATTCCTGTGAAGACTGAAGGAAAAGATAAATTTCCTTAACCGGCAACATTTCAGGGAAGGCATTTTCTTAACAGAAAATGGTAAATATCTGAAAAGATAGGAACCTCGGGCAGTTTAAAATGCGCAAGGAAGGAGAGCCTAGCAGTTCAACGGCTTTAAAATTC